TGGGCACCACGGGTAGGTTCATAGCTCTTTGAGCCGATAAAATCTATAAAATCTTAAGAACATTTTACAAATAGTGAGAGGCTGCTCGTCCTTTGCATCAGGAATATCAAGGTACGTGTAGTATCGCGCGTTCTTCAATCATGATTAGTAAAAAAGGTATAATCGGCTGGTCTGCGATTGTAGATCGATTTCACGATCCACGGGAAGAAGGATGGCCTGGTGAAGATTTCTGGGAATTTTGGAAATGGATATGACGATCGAATGCGGATGCTTGGCGAGCGGCGGTATTCCGCGAAGAAGTTCGGATACTTGTGCCATCGGACAGACGTCGCTGTCTGAAGGCGCGAATCGTCGAACTTCCCGCGGTGCCACAATCTTCATTTGGCGAACAGATGCGAATGGTAGTCGTGATTGCGGTCATGGCCGAGACGCACACCGTTACACTTGGTACCGCGAATCAGCTCGTCCACGTAACCGGCCAGTATCCGGAAATTCGTCTCGTTCGAGTTCATAGTCGAAGTCATGAACTTTTGGAACGACGACGTGAGAAGCCACAGCTCTTGACGACCGTTCTTTGCGGTGATGACCTGCAACGAGAACAATCACAATGTGGTTATTATACTTTTGTAAACTTTAGAGAACAAAATATCAAAATAGATATATTGCAAGAAAATATTATTTCTTGATACTATTTTTTTAAATAAAAATTAAGTTTTTCTTTAAGATTGTGTAGAATTGTGTCGAATGTATTTTGTGTTAGAATTGTGAATTGTAATATATATTTGTAAAAGTAAATGATATAACTTTGAACAAGATGAAAGATTAATTATAAAATATGAGTCAGCGCTGTTAATAGAATAGTATGCAATATATTTCTCTCTTTCTTTTTTATGGCATATCTTTCTCAGTTTAACAAATTATGTACCAATTATATGTCAATCTTAAAACATAATTACAAGCTAAAGCTAAAATTATAAAATCACAATTGTTGCTTGTAACAAATTTCAAAATTGATAATAAATTTTAATAAATTTTAAAAATTGATAATAAATTTTAATATTATTGATATCTAAATAAATATCTTATAAATCGAATTAATTAAAGATACCTGTCCCAGAGAGAATAAAGAGATTCAGGTTTGAGTCATGGCCGAGATGATATTTTTTGCAACAAATTATTTACAAATTATTATAAAAAAATATTAGATCGCACATTATTAAAAATACCGATCCTTTTTTGTACTTATTTTTCACTGTATAAATTTTAAAAATCTTTATTTTGATGATATATTTTTTATTTTTATTAAAAATGTTCTCCAGAAATATTCACGTTTTTGCTTTTATATTAGATATTGCGAGTATTTTTTATTTTAGCATATTTCACTTTTATTAAACTAAAAATTTTTAAACAATTTATTATATATAATGTTACATTTTATACCTATATAAATAAACGATAAAACAAATAAAAAAAATATTTAATTAAAGAATTTTACTGGAAGCTGCTGTCGTACCTTCATTCCAGAGGGGAATTGCAACGTCTCGGGATTGACGACGACGACTTCAGTATTGGTACCACCATATTCAGGATGACTGATACTGTTCCAACATCCTAAAGCGAGATCTGATAGAAGACCGAAAAAGAGAACTCCGTCCTTATCCATGGCTTGGGCCGCCGATTGCGATGACCTTTCCATAACAAATGGACGGAATGACCTTGGCGCTGCATCGGAGTATTCTTCAAAGAGGCTATAATTTCTAGATAATAATAAATACCTGATTATAATGAGACGTTTACAAAAATATTCTTTGTAGAATATTAAAAATGGAAGGAAAATAATAGAAGATTAGTAAAACAGATAAATTTATGTGGGCACACATTTATTATTTTTATTATCTTTATTACTTTTATTATTCTTTTACTTTTTATTTTCGTTGCTTGTTTGGTCGCAAATTGATTGCAAAATAATTTAAGAATTAAATGTATAAATGTATATTTAAATGTATAAAAATTTAAATTAAACCAAATTTTACTTAAAAATATAATATTTTATTAAAATTTTTGTATAGACAAAAAAAGAAAAAAATTATTAAATCTCATTTTTTTAGCAATTATATATCTAGAATAAGTTATATATACATATGTAATATAATATATATTACATAAAATGTATTTGCAGATATTTAAAACAAAAACCTTATAAAAAATAAGCATAATATATAATTGATTTTATTCTTTTAAGTCTAATTTAAGGAAACCTCTGTCTTTTCTCACCTGATGATAGAAGTAGGTACCCAACTTTCGATTCTGCTAGCCAGGGAATGGAAGTACAAAATCCTGTCACCATCCTGCTTCATGGGGCTCAGAGCAAGTCCCAAAATGCCATCCATAAGATCGAACGTGTCTCCATTGATGTGGAAGGTTCCATGAGCTGGATAAGGATAAAATAGATTGTTGGTGATCCTCCAGGAACGGAAATTACGATGATCGTAGACGAGTAATCCGAATCCAGTTACGTCGGCAATGTAGACAAACGTGTCTTGACATTTGTCGTCACCATTGCGAATGTCGACTGCGATCGTCACGAATAAAGAATCATCTTTGAACTGATCTTTAGGAAACTTGTATTGGCTCAGAACCTTATTTGTTTGTAACGAGAACGATAACAGTTGAGGACGACAAATCTGCCGTTCTTCGAGTTTACCAGTGTCGATGACCCATAATCTATCGCATGAATCAACCTGTAATCACATCTTTCTCTATAGCTAATATTTATTCTTATTTATTTCTTAATAATAATGCAAGATAATTATTGCAGAATAATATAATCAAATTTTCAACTTAAACACCTGCGTAACATCACGATATTTTTCATATTATAATATTTATTTAAGAAAATAAAACAATTAGTTTTTCTTGTAAAATATCTACTTTATAAATAAATATTCTGGATTTTCTGTATTTTTTACAGATTTTTTGATAAATTTGTATTGATTTTTTTTAAATACAATTTAATGATTTGTGATTGATTTTTTAATTATTTTTTTTAATGTAACATTATAAAGCAGTATATAATTATAATTTAAGAAAAACGTTTGGTTCTAAATTTTCTTTAAAATGAAACTGTTTCTTAATATTATCTCTCAATTTCAACAGTTTCAGTTTACTTTTGTTTCGAAAGAGATAATATATTTCTAGTTATCTTTTTTTGTAGAAACATATTTTACATGCTTGACATGGATATCATAAATCATAATATAATTGTAAATCCAGCAAATAAGAAATGATAATAATGAAAGAATTAATTTATACGTTACGCTTATAATTTTCTTCCTTACGAAAAGTTTTTTTCCTAAATAAATGATAAATTTTATATCATCGTTTTATATCAAAACAATATTGTTGTAATTAATTTAAATTTAAATTAAAATTAAAATGGTTCTTAGAGAAACTACAGTTTGCATTATAAATTTATAATTTTTAATATTTATATTTCAAAAATTTAGAATTTTTTTCAAAGTCTAAACAATTTATACTATTTTTTTATTTATATCAAATATAATATAACAATATTTTATTTATTAATGACATATTATATATTTCTTCCTGCGATCTACGCATAAATAATGGAATTATGCAATAAATACGTATTTAAACCAATTTTACATTTTTTAACCTTAATCATCTTCGAATATCAATATTACGAGTCATATGTATTGTAAATAATGATAAGTACACATATTTGTATTACGAAAAAGATATCGAAAAGCATGGCTATTATATTACTGTAGTTAATATTAGTAATTACGATTCATGTTGTGTAGTTTACGAATAATTATTTTACATACACACTACGCGTTTGGTTTGTTATTCTCCTTTCTCGAATAGTAATGAAGTCGTTATTTCCACATCGTCACGTAAGGTATGTTTATCTTTGAACAAGTAAGGTGCGATAATTTCCGATAATAAGACAGTTACGGGAAGATTCTTAACTTTAAGTCTTGTAAATCCGGTTGCGACAATCAGTCGGAAATAAACTGAGGATTCATGTAATTTTAATTTTTTAATTTTTATATCTCAAGGATTCTTTTCGAATCGTATTTACATCATAAAAATAAAATAAAATTTATTTAATTATAGATAATATTAAATGATTGATGTGTATATGTATATATTGTGGGAATGTGTATATATGTATAATTAATATATTCTTAAAACTTGTTGACAAATTGTTCGATGTGACATTATGCTGTTAATTGATAGTTTGATAGCAATATTCATGACAGATTATTGATCCAATTTACAAATGAAATTTTCTTGCTATTACCTGCACTCTAAATGCACTAGTGATCGCATCACAATGTCCCAATCTGTTCCATTCCCAATTTGGATAAGGTGCAATTATCGGATTTCCTTCAGAAGAAACATTATTCGTGACGTAACCGAGGCTGGCCGGAATTCCATTTTGAATCCTTGGTACCGTGATGAAGACTACAGATCCTTGTTTCGCTATACATTCATTAAATTGATTATTGACTGATTAAGCAAGGTGATTTTAAGCAGTTAATTTGTTAAATAATTCGTGAGGCTGTTCTAGTCAAATGATCGTCAATTAGAAACAATTTATATTAATCGATAAAAGAATCTTTGTTTTTAAAAAGATTTATGTATAATATATTTATAATATCTATATTTAAGTTTAATTTAATTTCTTTATAATATATACTTTTATTTTGTTGATAATTCCATGCGTCGTTCTTTTTATATCTTTTTATTATATAAATAAAATTATATTTTTAAAATTTATTTTACATTATATGATAAAATAATCAAAATGTTAAAAATTTTGAAATGATAAAATTTAAATTACAATTGTATATATAATGAAATTATATGAAGATCTTCATTATTTATACTTTTTAAAAAACAAAAAAACGATTTTATTAATTATTTGATAGCAATAATAAGATAGCAATAATTATATAATAATATAAGAATTATTATTTTTGCGCGAGTTAATTGAAACTGCGTAGAAATTACACAAATATGTATGACAAATTTTCATTATTTAACAAGTGCATACATTTTGTTGTTTAAAATGCATGAATAACAAAGAAACACGAACTGTTAGATCACAATCGATTAATTATGCGATCGCGAACTTCTATTCTATTCTAAGCTATAATTAGACAAATGATATAATCTTTTAATCGATAATTAACTAAACTTCATTAAAGAAAAAAGTAACAATCATTAAGCAATGTGTTTTCTCTCAAATCAAATTTATGATTTTAAAGTTTTAGCATAGAGTAATCAGTAATATTTATCAGCGACAGTAATTGAGTAAAATATTTGTTTAACAATAATGTGATGTTAACATGATGTTTCAAATGTATAATCAATCAAGTAAAAATTATTTAAAACCTTTGTGATAAAAATCCACATCGATCGGTACTGGTGCTCCAGGAATAAAGCGACCTTCTTGTATAGCAAGTTCTCTCGCATGCTCGTTTGAAAAGGCAAATTCCAAAGCCTTCCAGGAATATATGCCCTTTAATTTTTCAAAGCTGGCACATTCTTCCAATAGCAGAAACGGTAGAATGAGATAAAATAATTGGACCGGTTCAAGTTTCATTGTAAATCTATAAACAAGTTTTATCATTTAAGAAGACATAAAAAGAAATAATGTTTTATTTATGATAATTTTTTACGTCTTAAATATACTTATACATATTTGGATACAACTTGTGTGTGTGTGTGTGTGTGTGTGTGTGTGTGTGTGTGTGTGTGTGTGTGTATATGTATAGATAATATTTAAAATATATTAAATATTATCTCTTTGCAGAGACCTTCGCAAAATGTTCGCAAATTAGAAACTTGCCAATTAACTCAATTAATTAAAAAATTTATATGATTCAAAATGTCATCATGTGAAAGAATTCATCGAGAATTAAATGTCAAATGCTGAACGTGTTTATACATGCTAAGTACGAGTGATTGGTGTTACAAATTATTGCACTTTCTAACCTTAGAGACTTTCACGGAAGAAAATTACATGATAAAATTTAATTTGATAAAGAAAATAGAGTATAATTCAGTGTCGTTGATACAGGAAAAAAGCTTCCTTATTACGTACAAGTGTTCGCAAAAATGTTTTTAAACATATCTTTAAACTTTTATTTAACTTTTTATCAATGTTTTTATATATGTATTTTATTTAATATATATAAAAGAAAACTAAAAACGTAATTAAAAAAGTTATAAATAAAGAAAATTTGATTAATAATGCTGTAAAAACATACAATAATTATTTTTAAATAAAAATCATCCAAGAGAAAATAATTCTATTATTGTTAATAAAGGCCTAATAACATAATTTTAAAAAATATATCATTTTATAAGTATAAAATAATAATCATCAAATTTTAAATATTGTCATTTATATAATAAATTAACTATTAAATATAATTGTTAATATAGTATTAACAAAAGATATTATTTAAATTATTGTGTGTATTAATTGAAAATTTTCCTTCAATTTGTAAAAAGCGATTTATATAAATATATAGTTAATTTTATACAGATTTTGTTATATATTTTTATTATCCAATAATTTAAATCATATATAGATAAATTTTCCCTTGTGGCATTATTGCTGCTATAGCAGACAGAAACGCTCATGAAGAATTTTTAAGCAACTCACGGTTCTTAAATCAAATCTTCAGTTACAAGTGCTTATTTACAGCAATCAAACACATTTTGATAAATATTACCTCTCTGATACTATATGTTTTTATCTTCAGTGACTTCTCAATGACTTCTGAGTAAGTCTTCGTAGCTGCAGCTCATTTAGCGATAACAGGATGTAATTTTATGTTGTGTTCTATGTCACGTTTTTCGTTTTCCTCGTTTTCTCGATAAAATTTGATGGAGTATCAACTTGCAACTACGTTTTTCTTGCTTATTCTTTCGTAAATACGAGTATCGTTAGAGACAGCCGGCCTTTTTTCTTTCTTTCCTAGGCACTTTCACTGTCACGGATAGAGAAGTTTGGAGGCGGTTATGCTCGCTAGCGTTAACGATTAATATTAAACAAAACACTTTTCTTTTATCCTTCTTTCTTTTACTGAATATATTCCATAATTTTATGTTAAATAATATAATCTTGTAATCATCAACGAGGTATCCTCTATTTACCTTCTCGTTATTGTAGTTTTCTTCTTTCTTAAAGTATCCTCAATGTCTCTCGTATACGACGTGCAGAAAGCGCAATGTTCTCCAATGTTACTTTACTCTTTTCACACAAATAATTTAATGTTAACGAGAATTCGAGAGATACTTCGGCCTCACGGTCCGGACTACGAGACGATCGAGAGACAACTGCGAGATTTCTGAAGGCAGCGCGTAACTTTTCACGCGTTCACGTCCGAACATCTCCGCTCCACCAGAACAGAACCGTCAAAGGGGAAGTGGATACCTAGCTCTATGTCTTGTCGAAGATAAGATTGCTGTTTGAGGTCATGGTACGCGAGTGAAATGTTTTACTTCTGCGCATGAATTACGCACGCAAGCGGAAAATCGGGAGACCAGTGACGAAAGCAACCGGAGTAGCTTCGAGAAGAAAGGACGGAATAAGCTCGTTGCGCACGCAATTATTATCGTTGCACACTATCTCATTAAAAAAAAAATTGTATGAAATGATTATCAACTATGATTTGCGATTTGGAAGCAACTTTGCGACGCAGTTAGCGTAGATAGAAAAACATCCGTTTTAATTCCGGTTCTGTGTCAATTTTAAATTTTCATTTGCAATTCTTATAAAAACTCCTGCCAAATACCTGCAAATATATATACATGTTATAAGAACACGGAATAAATTTTTCATTAATTTTAAAATATTATTTTTCAATTTTGCAAAGCTACTATTGTCTTTGAAATATTTAATATACAAAAGCGCATAAATAAAAAAAATAAATTATAAATATTATAAATAAAATTGTTTTCAAATAATACACTGAAACTTTTATTTATGTAATATATATATATATAAAAATATTTTTTTATATATAAAAATCTCTAAGACTTTTGAAATGTTACTTAATTCAAAATAACAACATAATAAATAAAAAAATCCGTTCACGAAATATTTCTTTAACTTTTATGTTCTTTTATGTTCTAAACGTGATATTGTAAAGACAAAAAGTGATACATACGAAATATTAAAAGGAATTGAAATCCATTTTGATAATATTCGGAAAGTTCCTGAGAGTGTTTCCGAGAGATCTGTATATGATAGAGTTTTTTCTTTATATATGTATGTTTAAAGTATTTCTATGTAATTGTAATTGATATATAATATATTGTTATGATAATCATTTATTAATGCAAGAATTGAAAATTGGCCACAACGCAGTCGAGAATGAAAGAGTAATAGATGTCCGTAAATTTCAAAACTTATATAAATATATTGTAAAATAATTTTGTTATACGTACATTGTTGTATTCATTAGGAAGAATGCTACAATTTTTATTATGTCGAAATATTTATGTTAGCATGAAAAAGAAATACATGCCTCTTCATTCATTAACACAGGCAATCTTTTTATAAATAATATTTATACCTCACAATAGAGTTTGAACCACTTAATGTCATATTATATTTGTTAAATCTCTTTTTGTTTATAAATTTTGTTTACAAAATAAAAGCGAGTGTTTATTTATGGGGACATTCTGTGTATGTATGTTACAAAAAAATGAACCTTGAAATGATGCAATAATAATAAAAGTAGAGTATATAAAGTCGAGTATATATAGCATAATTAAAGTTAAAGTTAAAAAAGAATTCGAATAAAAATATGGAGAGATAAAGATTCAATATAACAATAATAGCTGATTAATAGATTAATCGAAATAAACAGATAATGGAGTTGCAGACGTAATATATTACGACTCTTTTGTAAAGTTGCTAATGTCGTCTTACGTTTCTGAAATGTTTAACTCATACAAAAGCGAATAAATAAAATATTACTTATAAATACAACTTTAAAACTTTTGTCTATATGATACAAAATTATTTTTTGTAAACATAAACGTAAAGTTATTATTTTTTTAATTTATAATATTTAACACACAATATATGCATAAATAAATTTATGTTATTAAGTATTTTAACTGCTTTTAACACAGTGCATAACATAAAGAATTTTTGTTTAACTTTTTGGACGTAATAATAATGGATACTTCGGCAAATTATCATGTGTGTAGTCACGGTATTAAAAAGACATTATACATTATACTCTTTTAACCTAGAAACACCATATGGTTTTTGTTTTATTATCACACTTTGCCATTTATCTCACTTTATTATCACTTCTGTCATGCATTTTAACAGGAAATTTAAGGAGGAAGGACGATGAGACAAACGATGATGTCATTCAAGTAATGGATACTATTTTGCATAAATGTTTTTTCCAGTATGCCTTGTTGGAACTTTTTGAAATCAATAGGGAATATGTACAAAAGATATCTGCATATGCACACAATATGCAAACATCTTCACAAACGTGTATTGTACGTCTTAGCCATTTGCATTTAACTCATTGATCATTATGGAAGACTAACGCGTAATTCTGATGACAATTATTTTATTCTTTGATAAATCAATGAATAATAATCTTCGATTGTAATCCAAAAAATAACATGACACACTTGGAAATAATGTATGATTAATAACGTTTTATCCCATGCGTTTGCACAATATAAATAGTTAATCCATATTCTTCAAAGAATTAATTATCATTTTCTATTTAATTAATTAATTAATTAAATATTAAGTATTATTCAATTATTTCTTTATTTTAATGCTTTTGTACGCAGAAATAATGAAAAAAAGAAATTAATTTACGCAAGAAGAAATACATGATACCATTTTGAAACATAATATTTTATTGAATAATGTGACATTTTCCTTAGAAAGAACTAATCAATTTTAAGCACTAATGAAGAATTTTACCATTGCTTCTAATAATTTTCAAGAAAACTACTTCTAACATTTTATAGAAATCATATTTCATATATAATTAATTGCAAAATTGTACGAAATTACATATGTAATTACATCTCAATATAATTAAAAATGTAATTTATTTATTTATCAAATAAATGGCAACAAGATACATTTATTTAGCAATAGTACTTTATAAACTTGACGAAGCATCTGCGATTAAAAATGTCAGTAAATAAATTATATATAATTGCATACTCAATAGGATATCTTGAAACGAATAAATTGTGTTATATTTTTACGATATAAATGTTATCTTTATTAATTACACTCTAATCTCTTGTTCACGTATCAACTGACATTAAATTCATGAGATACTATATATTTATAGTCATATTTTAACTGAAGAAACAGGTTTGATTGCTTTTAAGAAAATTGAATAGACAAGATATATATTAAAAGCTAAAGGTTTTTTTTTTATATATTTTATATATTTTACATATTTTGTGTCATTTTATTTGCTATTTTATTTTTAATTTCTTATAACAACTGATATTTACATATATAAATTTATTTACACACATTCTTATGTGCAATTCGAAATAGTTTCATAAATAAAAATATTAATAAAGAGATATGTTATTTCTGAATTGAAAAAATATGCAAAATATTAATATTATTAAAATATCATAAAACACCAACTTTCGATGAAAGTAAATTATTAAGCATAGTAAGCTACAATTGCGAAAGAATGCGAATACCGATATTACGTACAAAAGAATTTGCCAACTTTGCAATATTGAGTTAAACGTAGTTTTTCGATGATCTCTCAAGCAATTTTTAAGTAACTAACTTTTGAATAAACATTGCGTATTTCAGCTAATTTTAATTAATAAAAATTGTTATAAATATTTAATGTAAGAAACGATACTAAAATTAATATTTGGAATTAGTGATTCCAAGTATATATATACTCTAAGTTGATTCTATATATTTTTAAGTCAGACAAATTTGACAAAATAATTTTTTATTTTTCTTATAGAACAAGAATACATATTATTAAAACATATTATTTCTAAAAGATCACTTTCTGTAAAAATCAAATTAAAATTTTCTTAAAATATTTATAATTTTGATAACTAATAAATTATTGCGATAGTTGACAAAAATCTTTTACATCAGTTTTTTAGTTTTGAAATGTTATAAAAGATATATATTTTATAACAAAATATAAAAAAATTTTTATATTTGATCATAAATATTGTAAAAATTTTATATTAAATATAAAATTTTTGTATATATAACTTCTTTCTTTCTTTTGTAGATATTTTTTCTATTTTTTATTGTAAGATTTGTTTTCAAAATTAAACTTTGTTTATAATATTTCTTATAAACATCAATATTATTTGTTGTTACAATTTTCTACAATTTCTGTAATCTTAACAGTTTTAACATCTTTTTTTATAATCCCAGAGTATTATTGTAATAATGTAACGAATAATATGGGTCAATGCGTTGATTAAATGCAGTTGAGATTTGCGCGCGAGTATTTCCTTTGATTCTCATAATACGGATGTTCATCTGATGAATATCAATATTTTTGAGGAAGAACTTATGAAATCTCGATGACATTATCCAAAAATTACCATTGTCATGTTTTGCCCACAAAATTTCAGCAGTAAATTGTAATTCTTCTGGACTATAAGCGAGTATCCTGGAAAAAGAAATGCAAAAGAAATAGTAAAATTTTAATTATAATTATAACAACAATTATAACAAAAGTTATAAAATTAAAATTATAACTATAATTTGTGCGTGTATATATAGATATAATGTATACAAATAATTGTAATAAAAATATAATTGTTTCCTCTAATTTTAACAAATTTATTAATTATGCTCATTAAATCACAAGTTACGTCATCAAGTTACATAAATGACAGAAACGTTGTTTATCTTTCATATATTTTGTCATATATACTTCTGACAAATCATGCTATCGAATATAAAAAGAATAAAAGAGCAAGAGGAAATAAATATTACAAATCTTTTCTTCTTCAATTAAATTAATAAAATGTCTTCATGATTAAAATGGCTGCTGTAACGTTATTTCCTTATGGGAATTCTTAATGGCATGGCACTATAGCACAGGAAATATGTATAAAATTAACTTAACAGTGTATTCACCTTACTCGCGATCAACTTGTTGCGATCATTTGGTTAAAATGGAACCGGTTTGCATGACATAGTAATCCATAATATGCCTTATGTAAGTCTTGTTATTTTCCTGATTACAACTTTATTAAATAATAATAATCTCTCTCATAATAATATATTGTAAAGCAAAATGTATTTCTTTTTTATTTATTGATAGAAGAAACATGATATTTTGACACATTTTCGATAGCATTAATTTTGAAACATTTATTTACGTAATATAACATTACATGCATGATTTATTAAATTCTTTAAATTCTATAATCCTATAAATCTTGTAATGTAATACTTGTATAAAGTTTCATATAAAGTCACGTATAGTACGTACCTTTGCTCGTTCGTTCGCGGTTGCCACGATGCGATCGCGGTCTCGGTTAAGGGGGAGAACAAGATCGTGTCATCCCGAGGATCCACGGCCAGTGCCAGACCTTGACTCGACTTACTGCCGACCAAGGTCACAGGTAACTGTTCATCGAAAGGTAGCGGTCCGGCCTGCAGAGCCGAGGTGGGCACGCTGAAGATTTTATCGGTTGCCAGAGGTTGATAGT